GCCGAACTATGTCACTCGCTTACACGATATCTTAGAGTTCGCAATGACCGTAGTCGATCAAAACCCCAGCGTAGAAGCGCTTCACGTAAGCGATCTGGCTCTCGACCACGAGAGACAGACAATCCCGACTGGTATCATAACCAGTACGGTAAGTTTTCCAGAAACTGCAGGAAACCTTGCAATTATCCGACCTCAAAATCGACTGACACGAATAAGATTTCGGGAAACTTCCCAGCCGGCACGCGTTAACGTCAACCGTAGCCGGCGAACATAGCCGCCTCTTATATGTCACGGATGTGACTACGAAAGTTCGCTACCTCGTCGACACTGGCGCAGAAGTTAGCGTTCTCCCAGCAAATCCCGACGACAGACTTCGCGAGTCTGTTTTAAGTTTACAGGCGGCAAACGGTAAGCCGATCGCTACTTACAGTAAAAGGTAAGTCTACCTTAACGTGGGTTTACGCAAACCCATACACTGGATTTTCGTTGTTGCAGATGTCTTTATGCCAATCATTCGTATAGACCTGTTACAACACCACAATCTACTCATCGACACACGCTCACGAAGGTTAATAGACGGAAACACTAAGTTATCCGTTTGCGTAACTCCTTATTCTGGTTGCAGGTTATCCCCAGTCACGATTAAGCACACCATAGACCCCTTGTACCAATCAGTACTCGACAAATACCCCGGGATATACCAATCGCAATCGAAATTGCCCTGTGTAACCAGCAATGTTACACATCACATCTCGACTACAGGACCACCTGTATTTTCGAAAGCTCGAAGACTCGCTCCCGAGAAGCTTAGGTTAGCTAAAAACGAATTCGTCCACATGATGGACCTAGGGATAATTTGACCATCGAATAGTCCATGGGCATCCCCATTGCACATGGTCCCTAAAAAGGACAGCAATGATTGGCGGCCAACTGGTGATTATCGGCGTCTGAATGCTAAAACCATTCCCGATCGTTGCCCGCTGCCTGATATTCACGATTTGACAGCTACCTTGAAAGGCACAACTGTCTTTTCGAAAATCGACTTGGTTAAAGCTTATAACCAAATCCCGATGGCATCTGACGACGTTCCTAAAACCGCCATCATCACTCCCTTCGGTCTTTACGAATTTCTACGAATGCCTTTTGGTTTAAGAAATGCGACTCAAACCTTCCAAAGGTTTATAGACGACGTCATCCGAGGTCTCAACTTCGTACATGCGTATGTTGATGACTGTCTAATAGCAAGTCCGGACAGAGAATCACATCTCAAGCATCTGGACATTGTTTTCGATCGACTTCAAAGGCATGGCATTACTGTCAACATGCAGAAATGCCAAATCGGAACAAACTCCTTAGACTTCGTAGGACACACCATTGATGCCCAAGGCATCCGACCACTTAGGAGCAAAGTGGCGGCCATTCTGGATTACCCAGAACCGACCACGATCAAGCAGTTACGAACTTTTAACGAACTTGTAAGTTTCTACACACGGTTCATAACCAAGTGCACATCCCTTATGAAACCGTTAACCGATCAGCTTCGTGGAAATGCGAAATCAATTAGTTTAGACGACATAGCCCGTAAAGCATTTTCCACAGTTAAGGAACACATCGCTAAAGCAACCTTGCTTGCTCATCAGGACACTCAAGCGCCCATTAGTATCGCAGTAGACGCATCCGACTCAGCAATCGGAGCAGTCTTACAACAATGGGTTAACAATTCTTGGCAACCTTTAGGATTTTTCTCGAGACGGTTGCTAGACGCGGAATCTAGGTACAGCACGTTCGGTAGGGAACTCCTAGCTATGTATTGTGCTGTACGGCATTTCCAACATTCCATCGAAGGAAGAGAATTCACGCTTTTTACCGATCACAAACCTCTCACCTTCTCTTTAAGTTCATCTTCAGACAAGTACTCACCGCGAGAGTCTCGACAACTCGACTACATTTCGCAGTTTACTTCAGACATACAACATATTTCTGAAGCTAACAATGTAGTCGCAGACGCCTTGTCTCGAATAAGTTCCTTGAACAGTTTCCAAGGAATCGACCTTCTTAAACTCGCTCAGCTTCAAAAAGAAGACATTGATCTTCAGCATGAGTTATCCTCGACAACTCTTAAACTAAGTATTAAGCTGATCGGAACAGGTAAGGAGACCTTACTCTGTGACACATCTACAGGTAGGGATCGTCCAATTGTACCAAAAACATTATCGCCGCAACGTCTTCAATACGTTGCACAAACTTTCTCATGCAGGTGCTCGTGCAACAGTCAAACTTATAGCCGAACGCTTTTGTTGGCCTGTCATGAATAAAAACGTGAGGGAGTGGGCACGCTCCTGTGTAAGCTGTCAGAAATCTAAGGTAATGAGGCACAATAAATGTCCCTTAGGTTCTTTCAAAACCCCTGACGCTCATTTCGACCACGTTCATCTGGATTTGGTAGGACCCTTACCCGACTCGAACGGATACTCATATCTCTTAACATGCGTAGACCGTTTCACTCGATGGCCAGAAGCAGTACCGATTAAGGACATTACTGCTGAAACAGTGGCCCGCGATTTCGTCGAACGATGGGTAGCAAATTTCGGCTGCCCTTCTACAATCACTACAAACCGCGGACGCCAATTCGAATCTGGACTTTTCCGTTGTCTCACCTCACTATTAGGAATCACGCGCTTCCGAACGACCGCCTACCACCCACAAACAAACGGGTTGGTAGAACGTTTTCATCGACAATTAAAAGCTTTATTATCAGCTTCAAACGTTTCACAGTGGACAGACGCTCTTCCACTCGTCTTGCTAGGTATCCGCAATGCAGTGAAAGCTGACATTGGATACACGGCATCTCAACTCGTTTACGGAACGACACTTCGACTCCCAGGAGAATTCGTAGATCCTTCAGCTTCTTCATTGAACATGGATCTAAACTCTTACACGAGTAGGCTTACAAACGCTATGCGCTCAGTTAAACCTGCTCACACTCGACCTCAATCAACTGATGTTTTCGTTCAACCCGGATTACGACATAGTACACACGTCTTCGTTCGTCGAGACTCACATCGACGACCCCTGGAATCAGCATACGAAGGACCCTTCAAAGTTCTTCAACGCGAACCTAAGTACTATGTAGTAGATAAGAATGGTACGAAAGGTAGCATCAGTATCGATCGACTCAAAGCTGCGTACTTAGAAGGAAACCCTAGCTACGTCGATTTTCCTTCGGTACAAGCAAACGACACAGCCACTACACTCGTAGTACCCTACACGACAACCGACACACAACTTGATACTTCGTCAACATCGATAGATAAACCTAAAACAACGCGTTCTGGAAGACGAGTAAGATTTCCAGAACATCTTAACGAATATTGCACGTAGGACATAAGCTTTATCTTGAATTACCTTTTCATGGTTTATTATAAAAAGGTTTTAATATGCTCATTTTTTTATTTATATAAAAAAACAAAACATTTTTATCTTTTTTTGAGCGTATATAGATATATTTTTTTATATATAAAAAAAACACATAAAAAACACTTTTATCCTGATCGCTTTTGCGCTGTTGGTAAGTGTATTAGTTTATTTTTTTCCGCTCATCTTGTGTCCCTACGCAAGTACGAGTTTATTTTCGACATGCACTCACACGTTTTATTTTTCCTCTTTTCCAGGACGGCTGAAAAAGAACGACGAAGTTTCGCAAGGAACCGAAATTTTCATTGTACTATATTTCTTTATTGCTATGTTGTACATTTTGGTCCCATAGTTTAAGGAAAGACGACCAGACGCTGCTAAACGAAGCAGGCTATCAGAAGGGTGTTTACCAACGACAAACTCGTTGGGTTTAAACTTCTGGCTGGTCACGTCTTAGGGGCATCACTACCTCACTAGGGGGGAGTGATCTGTAGCTGTAAATAATTCCCCAAAATCAATAGTTCATCAAGTGTTCGACATTCGATGCTGACCACGTTGTTTAAGTGGACTTGTTTAGCTGAAGGCTTTCGGTCATGCATCCGCACCAGATCACGTTTCAACTCGGCGTGGGACACAGCTCCTACGTTTCATTAGCCAGCTCATAGAAAAGGTCCTCGATATATTGGTAACGAATCAAATATATCTTTCCTGCCTCTTCTCGTCTGACTTCTGATTTCTATCTGACTGGGAACGATCGAACATAGAAGGTGCTACTGGTAACTAGTTGTAAAATTAGAACATCCGTTTCACCTTCTAAGGTAAGTCCGTTGTCGTCTGCCCAACTTTGATGTCGGGTCAGATCCTGCTGAAGAACTAGTATATCATTATGATTACGTATCTCTCTCCAAAGTTTCACATCATCAGCAAAAAGCAATAAGTCAGATGAAACTTGTTGAGGAAGATCGTTAATATAAATCAAGAAGAGAAGAGGTCCTAGTATTGAACCCTGGGGGACCCCACTAGGACATTCCATAGCCTGAGAGAGAGTGAAGTTAACCCTTAAAGTGTCCGTTTCCTAGATATGAAATGAGCCAGTCAATTAAAGGGGATTCGATACCCAATCGTCAAAGCTTCTTGATAAGGCATACGTGGTTGACCCTATCGAAAGCTTTTGAGAAATCCAGGTAGATGACGTCAACCTTCCTCTTGCGATCAAGAATGGTTGTCCATCTATCCACCGCAGTCAGTAGGTTGGTCATACAAGAATGACCTTTTCTGAAACCGTGCTGTTGAGGTGAGAAGAACTTTAAGGATGATAAGTATTCTTGTATACCGTCGTATATTAGGGATTCCATAATTTTCGAAGGTATGGAGAGAAGGGCCACTGGACGGTAGCTTGAGGGTTCACTTCCTATCTTTATCTACTTTAATACTCTTTCAATCCACGTAGGAACAAACAGAAAGCATCCATATATGTAAATTGTTGCCCATACCTTGGACGTGGTGTTAAAGAAATATTTGTTTTTCATAAGCTGAATATTTGGTGCTGTACATTGAAAGCAACATACTATATCTCAAGGTTTTGTGTTGTCAGTAGTCACGTTCTGAATAATCGCGCTACAGTTGCAGATGGAGCTGTTTTCCTGTTGTTGGGGCCCGGTTTCTATATACATAGCAATAATCAGTCATGGATAAGATAATTACAGGTTTGTTGGCCAGTGGCCATCCTGAAAGCACGAAGTTAATACTTCTGAAGAAGTTGCGGGATCATATTAGTGAACTTGATGAAACGGATTTTCTTAAAGATGTTATTTTCACTTGTATTCAAGATATGTACAGTAAAAATGATTACTCTCAGTTATATATAAGTGTAGTTTGTGATCTCTTAAATTCTATTGAGTCCCGTTTATCAGATGATTCTACAATTCATCTTTCTCAGCTGATCACAAGTTCCTTCACCCCACTTGTTTTAAATTCATTTCCAGAAGCTTTGTCTATATTCATAAAAAAAGTTCTTAAGCGCCACTCAGTAATATTTCTCCAGTCGTCCTTGGAAAATCCAGGATGTTTGGGTACTCTATCTTCTGAGCTTCAATTTATTTTGGATCACAATCTTTTGAACGACAACAAGCAGTTGTACTTTCTTATTCAGCATAACCTTGTCAAGTCATTACATAAGTCAAATTGTTATGATCTCCGTGATGATATGTACTTGAGCTTTGTATCTAATATTTTTCAAGTTTTAGTAACTTTATCTTCCCAGTTTCCGTCTGGAAAATTTCCATTCTATTCATTTGATATTGAACTTGTTGAGTCCATCGCACGATCAGTAATCACGTTTGTTACAGAGCCAAAAATTATCAGTTATCAGTTCAACACATGTATACTGACTGAACATGTAACTTCTTTGGTTCAGGATGTTTTAGTTAGTTCCAGTTATGATTGCCATTACATTTCTGTAGCTTCCATGCTGTCCGAACTTCAGAAGTTTTGCTCAGATGATTCATTGTTGGAAACTATTTGTAAATTTATCGATCAACTTAGTCAACGTCATATCACCAACATTGAGACATGTTTTACGGTATTGCGTCGTCTAACTTTGTGGCTCACTTGGTCTGAACTAGCTACATATCGGTCTTCTCTAGACCTCTGGCTTATTGGATTTCAGTGTGAGATGTTCAGAAGGTTTCCTCCTACTGGGTCACAGTCTTTAACCAACTGTTGGTCAGATTTCATGTGTTGGCAATTTAAATTTGTCTTAGAACTCATGGGTCGTTTGTCGCTTCCACATGAGTCAACTGTATATGCTTTGGCCTTTTTCATTCTCACTGGCGATGACAAGCATGATCAATATGCTGATGATATAGTCTCACATCTAGCACCTGTTTTGAACAAACTGCTTAATATGTATGTTGACAACCCATCAAATGAAGGATGCAAAGATATTCTGCTCAAAATGTACACAATTTCACGCTTACTTGGTCCACTAGTTATTTCTACTGATAATGAGTTATCAAGAACATGTACACAAAAGAAGAAGCACCTGGTTACTTTGCTAGGCAAATTTCATAGTCAGTTCAACGACGAAAACAGTCCTGAGATTTGGAGTACGCGAACAAAAATATATAAATTGGAGTTTCTAACAAAGTTTGGGCCTCAAGCTGGAATTCGTATTCGAAAAATATGGGAGCGTTGGAATTTAACTTCAACAATCCGACTAATTAGTATACATCCAACAACTTTGAAAGTAAGTATCTGCCTAGGTTTTGACTTAAGTAAATGCTTCATATAAAAAGTGTCGGAATATCATTCGCATATTGCCACCCTGACGTTCTAGCTTTTAAGCCAACCATTGTACTGTATGTCGGATTGAACCAGATTTATTGCCTGGTAAATAATAATGCTTACATTCCGGGGTTTTGGGACACTGGTTTTATGAGTGATACAATCCCTCAGTTTTTTTGCCATTATTTTATCAATTAAGTTTTAACATAAGGTATTGAGTGACAAGCAGTTTGTTTACATATAGATTATGATGCAGATATTACATAACAAAAGTATACCCACTAAGCCGTTAGACCGTTAGCATTGTAGCTCAATGCATTATGCACTGGAATTTTAAAGTTTGGGCTCCATATTCAAGTTAATTGCCACGTCCCTTGGTCTAAGAGCGATCAGTCATCATCACTGTAAATCTTGGCATAGATTTGCGTTCTCCCAAGTTGCCATACTAGATTAGCACGAAAAAGTGAACCACCAAAATGTTCAGAATGGTGCTTGAAAAAGCCACTGTACGGCACCTCATTTAGTTCTGGATATAAAACAACCTTTAAAAATAAGTGATTCAGATGCTACCATCTTTTGATCAAAGCATCTTCAGCACATCCTGGGACTAATGAGTAAGAAATACTGAATTTAGGTGCCAGATGCTAGTCACAGATAGTAAATCGGTTCATAAAACAGTTAATGTTCATCAACTGGGGTGGTCGCGATATGTATTACGCATCCCTAACCACCGCCTACCTCAGTGCAGGACGTTTGCTAGTGTAGTAGTAGATTGGAAGAGAGCTAAGGGGGATGACACGGCTCAGAATCAATCCTAATGGAGATGCATTCCATTTTTGTCTTGCTCTGGATCCTAATCTTTAAAATCATTTTATATCTTGTTATTCCTCTAATTCACATTTTTCTCTTGAATCATGTTGTTTGTCCTAATTTCCCTTCATACTCTGGGATCTGCGTTGATAACTTCAAACCACTGTGTTGAGGTTGTATGACAATTTGAACCGACCTACATGTATGACGGGTTCTACGCTGTATATGACTGACTGAATGGCTAAGAGGAAACGTTTGGCAGGGAATCGTGAAACTAAGTCCTGCGGTAACTGACATTCGTCAGCAAATGATATCTGTATCCTGGATGCACGGCTTCTCAAAGATTGCTTCTAAGCACTTAACATTAAACTAATAACTTTATATTTATCTGCAAGCTGCGTAACATCATGCTTTTCACAGCGAGAAAATCAACATTAATCTGAAAGCAAGGTTGCTAGTCATTACAATGTTGCTTAAATTTACTGCCATTTAATACCTTTTTGATAATTATTAATTTTATCTGACCTTGTCTTACTGATGAAGACAAATCGTTCAGTTGCTGGCTATAAAGGCATATTAAACGTTGGCAATACATGTTATGCAAATGCAGCTCTGCAATTACTTTATCACTGCTCCGAGTTTCGTCGGGCCTTATTTGGATTTCACAAAGCTTATTCATCGGCTGGCACAGTTATGGCATCTTGCACCCCGTTTTCAACCAAAATTGACTTGGTTTTGCCAAGCCAAAATTCAAACCCATCGAATAATCTCAGTTTATCAGTCTCAAATTTGCATGAAAATGCATGCTCGTCAGATAATGTGACGTCGTCAGTTGAACATCAGGGTGTTTTACATGCTCATCTGTTTTCGCTTTTCCAGTCACTTGATACACATCAAGTAAGTTGGTGAAATATTTGTTGTATTTTTAAATCTCATTGTTTTTAACTTGCATAACATTATTTATTGATAGACTGACAGACTTGTAAATTTCCATAGCTCAATTTGTACACAAAATCAAACGGAATTAGATTTTGTAACGTATTTATATTCCATTACAAAGTATCATTAGTACTAGGTACTCAAAGATTTTTTTGTGGTGGCGAGTTCGGAATTCGGGGTTTGAATTAATTCTATGGTGTAGTTAGGTACTCAGTTTTTATTCACTTACAATTATGACCTCACGCACTAGTGGATGAACAAGTGAGTGACGTTGAGTTTAGGCATATCATTCTAGTGTTAGTTTATATTCTCCAAAGTGACTGTTGCATTGATGAGTAATGACTAATCACTTACCATCTTGTCGTGATGGTGCATTATGACAACAGAATCACATCATACACTCTAAATCGAATACAACACCAACCATGATATATCTCTGCAAGACGTCCTAGGTCTCGTCTATTTCGGTCAAAGTTGGTTGTCCGATATTTTATTTTACAGGCCATAAAGTTGGTCGCGTCAATGCGAAGATATGTGCTTTTTATCTCGTATGTATTTAAAATCTTATCCCTCTATCTGTTGATACCACCGTTTTCATTTCTTTTATCACTTTCAGTCTCTGCTAGTCTCAGTGTTCTTGAAATGTGGAATCTTGAGCCAAAATGCGTTTTGTCCTTGTCTCTTGAAGGTACTTGATTAGGTTATGCCACTAAGTTGCTCATTTTGCTCATCGAAATTTTCCCTCACCGTAAATTATGCACATTTCTAGGTTTTATAAACGCTTATTATTTACTAGTGCTTATTTCGTAGGTAGGGAGCTTCAAAAACCACCTGCGGTATTCCATAATATCTAGAATCGACTAGATAGACATCATTTGATGAACTAATCTTTCGGATTTGTTAGGTAATCCATGCTATGACGATTATTATATACTCACTGACTTCTCGTGGCCGGGATGTTGTTCACGAAAGCGAGAGGACGAAAAGCGAATGCACGGCGCTTTAACCGGGTTGGCGGACACGGAAAGTCCACCCAGGGGAGTTGGAAAACCCTGATTCCAAACCAATGGTGCACATGGGCTCCAGTATCCTGAGGGAACAAATGGCTTATGAACCAATTGTTTGTCACCGGCTACCATGGGACTTCATCTCCTCACGATGCTCCACTACCTTGTGGATAAGATCTTTAGGTCAAAGGCTCGGGGTGTGGCCCCCTGAGAAAATCACCTGCTTCGGTTTGGGCACCCGGGCAGTATCACAGCCTACACACAAATAAATGAAAGGACGAATTCTACTGACAATACTATTCTCGCTCTTACAATTTACATTATTATTATTATTTACCATATCGCTTATTCACTCCCTTTTATTCCCAATTCGTGTATCCTTACTTTTCAACTTATGCAGCAGCTCGCCCATGGCGGAAACTGTTCTATCTAAACGATCTCTAGCCACTGTCTGGTCGAAAGTGAATGCTTTCACCGATTACGAATACTGAATCCACGTACGCCGTTCAAGCTGGCTTCCTTCAACGTTCGCACACTAATGCAGATCGGACAACAGATAGGGCTGGCTATGTCTTTAGAAAGCCTTAATGTTAACGTCTGTTGTCTATCCGAGACTCGTATTCAAGACTCTAGTGAAGTACTACAAATCCGCTCTCCATATGTCGCCTCGAAAAGCTTGTTCCACGTGCGCTTATCCGGGGACCCTGTGGCATCTTCGTCTGGTCTTGCTGACGTTGGTGTTGCACTAAGCGATAGGGCTGAGGCAGCACTAATCGATTGGATCCCCATTAACAGTCGAATATGTGCTGTTAGATTAGAAAGTTCCATCAAAGTGAGAAGAAATCGGCGTGAGAAACGGTGTCTTTTCGTCATCTCCGCCTATGCCCCGACAGATTGCAGCCCGGATGCAATCAAGGATGAGTTTTACCATCAGTTAACAGTTCTTCTCCAGAAAGCGCGTTCGACAGATATTGTAGTACTAGCCGGAGACTTGAATGCACAGGTCGGGCATCTAGGCACAGAAGAGAGTCGTTTAGGTGGCCGATGGGGACTTGTTGGTCGCAGGACAGATAACGGGGACCGTTTGCTGCAACTGTGCGCAGACTACAACCTGTTTCTGGCTAGCACTAACTTCCGGCACAGTCATCGCCGGTGTGCCACCTGGCGTCCTCCCTCTGCATCCCAATCCTGGACTCAAATCGATCACATCGCGATCAGCTACCGCTGGCGTGGTTGTGTACAAGACTGTCGCTCCTTTTGGAGTACCTATCTGGAGTCTGATCATGCCCTGGTCTGCGCCAATCATACCTTACTTTTCAGTGGCCGAAGGATTGACCGCCATCAACAGATCGATGTTAGCAACCTGGCTGCAACATCTATTGCAAGTAAGTATCGAGCGGAGCTAGCTTCTAGGCTAGCTACCATCCCACCGAAAAGTATAGATGAGCATTGGTTGCATCTTCACGACGCCATGAAAATGGCGAGTAAAGCCGCTTGCGGCTTCGCGAAACGTCCCGCTTATAAGCACTGGGTTTCTTCTGGCTCCTTACAACTGATGGAAGCCCGTCGGTCTACTCCGGGTGACCGTGGGTTTGACCACAAACGAAGGCTGTTACGTAATGAAATCGGGCAAAGCTTGCGTAAGGACCGAGAAGCCTGGTGGTCGGAGCGTGCTAATGAGATGGAAGCAGCAGCTGCATCTAGTAACTGCCGGAAGCTCTTCCAACTCATCCGAGCCACTGGCAGCAAGAAGTCTGGTGTGAGTGAAACAATCTACGAGGATGACGGGATGCCAATCACTAACATCTGTCGACGTCTTGGACGATGGGCGGAATTCTTCGAACGGGGGCAGTTCAACTGGCCTGCTGCTCCGGCAACATCAACCAGTTTGTTCTGCCCCCCCCCCCATGGCCGGTGACGACTGATCCACCAAACGTGGTGGAAGTCCGCAAGGAACTCCAACTCCTGAAGCGCCACAAATCACCGGGCCCAGATGACTTGCCTCCGGCTCTTTTTAAAGATGGTTGTGACTTTCTGGCTAAGGATCGTGAGGTTCTATGGCAGTGTTTGTTAGTGAAAGGAGTACCAAAGAAGTACATTAACCTCATAAAGGCTCTATTCTCGAACACAACTGGTCGAGTTGGAGCTTATGGCGAACTGTCATCACAATTGATTACCTGAAGTGGTGTTCGTCAGAGTTGTCCACTCTCTCCATTCTTTTTAACTTTGTCGTTGATGTGCTATTAGAAATAACACTTTCATCATCTCAATCTCCAGGAGTTGAACTTTTACCGGGAGGCTCACTTGTTGACTTGGAATACGCCAACGACATAGTTTTATTTGGTGAAGACGCTGGCAACATGCAGAGTCTTCTGACCACTATAAGCAACTATGCAGGCATGTTCGGGATGCGATTCTCTCCCTCGAAGTGCAAAATGTTACTTCAGGATTGGGTTGCATCGACACCTGAACTAATGATAGGGAGTGAAGTAGTTGAGCGTGTCGACTGTTTCACTTATCTTGGGAGTCTCATCGGCCCTTGTGGTCTGGTGTGTGACGAAATCTCAACACGGATACTGAAGGCTCGTCTAGCTTTCGCCAACTTGCGCCATTTATGGCGTAGACGAGATATCCGTCTAGCAACCAAAGGACGGGTTTACTGTGCAGCAGTTCGTTCCATCCTACTTTATGTCACTGAAACATGGCCAATAAGGATAGAGGATATTCGTAGGCTACTAGTTTTCGATCATAGGTGTCTTCGAAGCATTGCTCGTATATCCTGGGACCACCGGGTAAGTAATGCAGTTGTTAGGAAACGGGTACTAGGTAAGGATGGCAAATCGATTGATGAAGTAGTGAAACTTGATAAGTTAGAATGACTGGGACACGTGTTACGTATGCCTGACCTCTGACTGCCCCGACGTGCAATGCTTTGTGGTGTTCTACGTTGTGACTGGCTGACTGAACATGTTAGTGATGCAGAGGTTCGGCATCGTGTGTTCGGGCGCAAGGACGATAATCCAATTGGTGTCACCATCTTTAAACATCGACTTCGGTGGCTTGGACATGTTCTACGAATGTCGTCGTGCATTATTTGCCGACGCTGGGACTGGTTGGAAAAAGCGGAGAGGTGGTCAGTGTATGACATGGTGTCGTGGTATGAAAGAAAGCTGCAAAGGGCTAGCTTCTGTTGGTCCTTCACGACTCCCTGGCTGGGGTCCGAGAGATGGTGCAACACAGTGGCTAGAGACGTTATCAGATATGACTCAGAGTAGAAGCCAGTGGCGATTCTGCTGTAACCTTCTTTTACTTCATAAAGAATGGTTATAACTTTCTTAACTGAGAGAGTTCTTCTGGTTGTACATTTCAGTTCCCCCATCACTACTCTTCTCTTTTTTCATCCTTTTTTCTTCTTTTATATATACGCATCCTCCCCCTTTCTCCTCCCATTCTCATTATTTTGTGTGGCGCATATGTATCTGGTGCCCTTTTGTACCAATATGTATGTGTTTAAATAAATAAATAAACATCAAACAAAGAGATCTGAAGTTCCGCATTTTTGTCACTTATTTCTGAATAAGCTAGAGTAGCAGCTTAGTTGTTGAAACACCTAGCTTTCAGCCATTCAGTTTTCGGTTCGAATCATGTTTTAAATACTTCTCTTCGGGCAACCAAGCAGTGTCAGTAGCCTTCATATGAAATATGGGTCTTGTGGCTTATTACATAGCTCTTTACTTAGCAATTAACGGTTATTTTAAAATATAGCCGAGTAACGGTGTTCATTTTTCAGAGTCCTCCTATAATCTATTTCTACAAAATACGTGCAGTTGTCAGGGCCAGAACTGTTACTAATCCGTGTAGCTCTGAAAGCTTGCAGACCATATACCTATGCTTGAATAAAGTCCCTAAATGATATGATTATTTTTTTCAGGAGCATTAGTTGATCCATACGATTCTTAGTTAATAAGTTATTATTACTAACTTGTGTGGTAATCTATCCGTAACAGCAGTCCAGCTCTGTGGATTTAAAATGCTGAAATTCTTATGGGGATGTTGGGACATGATCATAACTTACTAACTAAGAATAGCATGGGTCAGCTAATGCTCCTGGAAAAAAAGGACTTGGTCCTAAGCAAACCTGACGAAGTAGCTGGGTGTGGTACTCCTTGATCGTCAAAATTGTTTAGGCGAAATGCGGTTAATCCTAGAGGATGATACTGAGTTTCCCAAACCTAAGTGAGAAGTGGACAAAACATTGCAGATCGAAAGACAGCTAAATGATGTAAAAAATCTAAAGGAAAAACCATATTAACCCTAGACTTATGAGATCAAAGAATTATGTTTATAACAAAAGTTGCATTACTGGACAGGTTGCAACGCTGGTTATTATTAATGTATGTATTCCAATAGTGATGTACGGTTTTCGCGCCGATTTTAATATTACAACATTCGTTTTATTCATAGTAGTGTGGTGAAGCCAAATTCATACATCAGTGATCGCTTCTCGTCACAAGTCGTTCCTCTTGTTTTCAGGAGTCAATATTTCCTACTCTTATTAGTCTAATTGTTAGAGTGTGGAAAGAGCTCGCTCTCCCTCTCGAAATGCTATCACATGGCCACGCGTATATAACCTCTGCCAGGGAAGTCCTAATCACTGCCTTCTCATGGCCGGGATGTTGTTCACGAAAGCGAGAGGACGAAAAGCGAATGTCCGGCGCTTTAACCGGGTTGGCGGACACGGAAATTCCACCCAGGGGAGTTGGAAAACCCTGATTCCAAACCAATGGTGCACATGGGCTCCAGTATCCTGAGGGAACAAATGGCTTATGAACCAATTGTTTGTCACCGGCTACCATGGGACTGCATCTCCTCACGATGCTCCACTACCTTGTGGATAAGATCTTTAGGTCAAAGGCTCGGGGTGTGGCCCCCTGAGAAAATCACCTGCTTCGGTTTGGGCACCCGGGCAGTGTGACAGCCCTCACACAAATCGAATGAGATTTGTGTGGCGCATATGTATCTGGTTCCCCATTGTACCAATAATTGTGTTTAAATAAATATTAATAAATAAATAGATCTTTGTACATTACTTATCTAAAAATTGGTGTAATAAAAACGAAAAATTGTTCTTACATACTTGTACTTCAATAGCTTCCAAATGTCCGTGACATACGAGCTGTACTTACACTTACTAAACCGGCACATTTTGTACCTGGTGAACAACAAGATGCAGCTGAATATTTAAACTACTTATTGGATCGATTACATGAAGAAGAGTTACATTGTAAAAAACAACAAAGTCTCTCTCTCGATTCATATTGGTAAGTGTTTAGTAGTTATTTAAATAAAAATGGATGTTTTTTGCAATGGTTTCATTCTTCCCAATATAAATTGTTTTGTCCAAATGTGTTATTTTTTTTCTTTCCTCTAATGCAAAGTAAATAGCGTTAGATCACCCTACGCAAGATGACGACATCACCCAACCAATACCATTCATACCTCTGATATGTTTATTATTTCTTACATCACTACTCAACTCTCAGTGTTGGGTAGTTTGGAAGTAGGTTAGAAGATTGAACGCGCTTAAACTAATACATAACATTAGCCCATGATTTTTTCACTCATTTACTTAAACATATAAACATTTGTACGAAGGAGCCCCAATTATATATGTACACCACACAAACCATTAAATTTGTGTGTGGGTCGGGATACTCTCTGGGTGCCCAAACCAAAGCAGGTGGTTTTCTTAGGGAGCTACTTCCCGGGCCTTTGACTTCAAAATCCCATGATAGCCAGCGATGAAGAGTATATTCGTACACCATTTGTTCCCTCAGGATTGTGGAGCGAATGTTCACCATTTGTTTGGTATCACGGTTTTCTATGTCCACTAAGTGGATCCATCTCACCTACCAACCCGGTGTAGGCACTGTGCATTCGCGTTACGTCCTCTCAACTTCATAAACATCACCGCCCGCCACGAGAAGACAGTGAGTAGTCCATAAAATCATTATCTCTTGAAATAAGCCATGTTGGTAGGTCCCGATTACCTGGCTAAGGTCTGCACGAATACCACAACCGATGATTGGAGACGTCGGGTGAGAGTTCTACATCTTCTTTAATGAGGCAAATTTATTCACTCTTTGTCGAGCTTCACTTCCTGGGATCATCGTGTAAGTAATAGTGAGGTTAGACACAGGGTATGGTAAATCAGTTGATGAGGTTGTGAATCTCCATAGACCGAGATGGTTGGGCCCATGTATTACACATGCCTAAGAACCGATCATCACGGCGCGCAACACTGACCAGTGTTGGAGACGGATGGAAGAGAGTTAGGGGCGGTCAAACCAAAACGTGGCATCAGTCCATAAAGTCACTAACTTTTGGTCTGAGCCATGTTAATAGATGCAGACTAATTGGTTGGGGTCCGCGCAACTATCGTAACCAGTGGTTGGAGAATCTGAGTGGCATGGCTCAGAATCGATCACAATGGCGTAGGTGTATACACTCTTTATCTTCCCTTAAACCATGAGACTAAAATTACTTTTTTTATATGTTACTATCATTGAAGTAACTGCTTCTATGAATTCGGTATTCATCTTGTTGTTCTAATGAGACAAGGCAACTTGAACGGAGCATATATGTACCCAATCCTATGTTGTAGGTGACTGATTTTAGTTCCTGGGTTTTTAAGACTTATTTTGTGGATTCTTTCTCCCTGAATTATACTGTCTGTGCTTAATATTTTCTACTATCACTGATACCGTTACTATTTTTCATAGTTGAAAGCATGAGTCAATTGAAGCTAGACCACCATGGAAAACCTGGAAACACTGGACGGCCGTTTCGTCTAATTATGGGACTCCTCAACAGTGCGCATCCACGAACCTGCGCTCGCGAGATTCGAACCCAGGACCTACCAGTCTCGAGCCAGAGCCCTTAACCGATAGACCACTGAGCTGGCATCCAGTGTTTCCAGGTTTTCCATGGTGGTCTAGCTTCAATCGACTCATGCTTTCAACTATGAAACATATTAAATCTCCACAAAACCCCTTCTGATAGTTACTACTTTTATTAATCTGGGATTTGTGTTAACAATTTCATCTTAATCTGGTTGCGTGGTATAACGACTTTAACAGATGAAAATAAGTGTCTGGTTATTATGACTAAGCAACTTACGTATAACTACTTGCATTGTATTGGTTTTGTTCATTTTCATACTATGGAATAAATATCAGTCGTAGTAAACATTCAGCATGATTTTAGATTATTTTACATTTTACGTAATAATTTCAGTTTGATTTCACATTTGCTCGTAGTTATAATGTATAATGTTTTCAGCAGTCATATTTTTAACTTATATATGTAGAGTTCACATATCTCATACGATGGAAACAATGTGAAATATCACTAGCTTATCGGATGTATAAATACGTTTGATTATCAGTAGTATTTACGTGCACCACAATATACACATGTGTAATACATATTTTCTTTGGTGAAAGAAAAATCCAAATATAGTTGTTTCTATAGAAGTGAATGTAGTCTGACCATTTCACGTTTGATATCTGATTGGTTCTTCTCTATGATTGTTTATTAATTTTTCTAGTGGATAGGTCGATATATTTCAAGTGATTCGTATCTATCATATGATTCAATTAAACGTGATATATATATATATATATATATATATATATATATATTTTCTTTAAATATTTCAATTATCAAAACCTATTTACCAGAGTTACTACATACCTTAATCATCTAAAGTTCATGAATGTAAATCTACCGTTAGGTAAATCAGATTTCTTTTCTTGAAATTCAGTAGCATCCAACTTTTTTCCTTTCTCTGATAGTCATTCCCGTTATTTACTCTAAACTGTTCAACGTCAATTATAGAAGTTCGTTCCAGAGAATAGCATTCATAGTACTAAGAATAGTTCCATTAACAAGAGAACTATGTAACTAATTATACTGTTTCGTTAGCTTATTTTAAGGTCAGTTACATGATGCCTACTTTTCTCACGCATCACAGCCTAAATAGATTAACCAATTAATATATATTGATATAACCTACAAAAATATCTCCATTTGAGAGTATTTTGTTAGCATGTTTGACCCATTTTCCCTGTAGTAAATACCCCCTTAACTGAATGCTTTGTTGATTTGCGATTATTTAGGGCTATCTCTTGTTAGTTTTGGGATACTACTGCGCCATCACATGATTGGTTGTATATCGTCGCACCACAGTTTACCCATCAGTTGTTATTACTGTTGTGTAAACGTTGTGAAAATGTTTTCATGTATTTTTAAAATAGATCTACATGTCATTCAATATAATTAGCGCTGATAGGAATGCGTTAAAAACGATCTTTTTGGAAAAAAATACATCTATTTGTTTCTTGTCCAAGATTTTTCCGTTAGGTGAAACACAGTTTTTTATACACTGAAGTAAAAGGATAGAAATGGCTTGTGTTATTCCCGGTCCTAATGTTAAATGCTTGGAATTGGGAACGCAAGACTAGTGCGAATGAAAATTTATTGACCCCCCAGGATCACTTCCACTAACCTTGATTGTTTAAAAATAGGACTAATCAGTGCGCTCCAATATAGTTTTTCCTGAAGCACACTTATTGCTCTGCCCTGCAAACAACTTGTAACTCAAGAAAGTGGATACTGTTGTAGTTTGGAACGGCATTCAAAACTTCAGGATTAGATGAACAACTAGCCCAGAAAACAGTTTACCCAAGTAATTTTTGATTATTTGGACGAAATTCAGCCTATTCTAAGGAAGACCCTTGTAGGGTTACAATCTCTGTTCAATTAATCAGAAGACACCAAATATAAATAAATGCATTACATCAGTTATGGGTACTTCGACGTTCTTCGTATCGTTTGACCTCACCTACGTATTCTCAGCAATCCAAGATCTTGAAGATATTAAATGATATTTTCCTTATTAAAATTAGTTATCATACGATCGATAGTCAACATCCTAGTTTTGGTATATACTCCGTGACCTTGAAGTAGTGTACTAATTCCTGATTAACCGATTGTCATAATTCATACACTAGACTGAAAAAATCATTCCTTTTAGAAAGTTGTTGGTGCATAAAAACGTGAAGTGTCCTTATTTCCGTACTCTAGTATTACAAAACTAAACAATTACGTTGTTAAGCCAGTCTTGTTGGAATTTTGTGATAAAATCGGGAAGAAGTCGTTTTTACCAGATAAAATGTGGATGTAACATGTCAGTTGAGTATTCAGCTAATAAATGTTATAGCTTGATGATGATTGAATCATGTGGACCTAGACACTTAAGATGCAATCGAATCACAGATCAATCATAACAACGTATACTGATATAATTATGGAGTGGCAGTAGGTGAACAAGCAGTTTACAATATAAAATAGTTTAATTTATGTTGGGTATGTCAAATCCCCAGAACTTACTTGGTAAATGGCTTAGTTTTGTAATTTTATTTTGAAAATTTGAATTTGGCTGTTTTCGCGCCAAAAGCGCTCTTTTACCTTCACGTCATATTTCCCACTTGTAAACTATCTTAAACGCTATTGGTCCATTGTTTCTTTGTGTGTGCTATTTACTAATAATGCTCAAGGACAATTTGTTGCTGTATAAATGCGCTTGACTTTTTCCCTCATTCGATTGGTTGTACTCGGCTGCTTACGGAATACATATATATTCCCCTACTTGCCTTGGACTTCTTCGTCTAGTTAGCGGGGCCTGGGACAACAGATTAGAATAGCTTATCGTGTCATTGTGTCATTGGCTTTCGTTCGTTACCGCGGAATCGATTTAGTTTCAAGCATAACAATTTATGTGAAACATAAGAGTGTGTCTGTCAATATGTAATAAACAACCACATTTTACTCTCACTAAACATATCAATAAGTCTTTGGATTTGCCTAACCCTCGCCTATTTTAAAGTGGTAACCCACTTGGTAAAATGACAGACCAACAAATAGTTGTAGGTTTTCCAGACAAAAATACCAATACACAGAACACCTGTCGTTTATCCAGCTTGGTGATATTTCTAGAGCTCTTACGCAATATTGCTCATAGCTGAGTACATAAACCTGTACTCACTAAATGAGTTACAAGTTTTTAGTAAACTGAAATTTCTCGGATTGAATATATGAAATAGTTGGAATAGGTAGTTAGATTATTTCGCTGATATAGTTCAATATTTTTGTAAAATGGATGCTGACAGTCATCTATTTTGTACCTTGCTTCCTTCCATCATTTTCCTGGTTCTGTGTTTCGCATTACCCATTATTTACATAATCCACGCCTTGACGTTTTTCTACTATTTAACTAATGCACTATTACACCAGAACTCTCATTAGTGTTCGGTTGTAATACTTATATGTTAAATATTCTGAGTCATTGAATTCGGTTTTATATGTTTATTATTAAGGCTAGTACAGTTAATTTTAAATCATTTGATATAGATTGTTTCACTGATTAGATATACTCAACTGAACAACTCACAATAAATTGTGCCGTACAGTTCTACTGTCATATGAATTGTTCAAAGAAATTTCCATATACTACTCCTGTAAACCGGCAAAACAAGTCCTAATTATTTACAAATTATATTTTGTAAAATACATGATAGTGAATTTCCTTTAACAGTTGTTTATCCTATTTGTAATGATAAATTTCAGCTTATAGTTTTTTTCAGAAGGGGATTTGTGGAGATTTCAGTATTTTTCAAAGTTGAAATCATGAGTCAATTGTAGTTTTTTTGTTTTTTATGCTTCTTATATTTCAATAATTATTGTGTGATATAGCAATTCATCAACTTTTACGGCTGATCAATATATTCAATCTACAATGGACGCGAATTTCAAACCGAAACCGTCTTGTTCTTACAATACAAATAAGCAGTCCTGTTCAGCTGACTCTATACAGAACCTTGGTGAAAACACTTTAAATAACGACTCTGGCTCATCATCATCGTCGGTAGTTGCGCGTCTTTTTGGAGGTACTATGTTAAGGCACACTTCTTGTGTAGAGTGTCAACATGTCTCCAGTTCTAGACAGGAACAATTTATTTGTCTATACGTTCCACTAACTAAACCACGGGAATTGCTGTATCAAGACCAGGCACCTAGTGAAAACCCAAGTTTTGTTACCAAGATTCCTGAAGTAAGTCTGTGCCTACCGTTTTTACATTTCACTGTAATTATTGTCAGAAATTTGCTCAGTGAGCTTTAAAACGTAAGAGAACTAAATGTCGCTCCCATGGGATAGCGGTTTATACTATCCGCCTTTATCCATTGGATAACAGGTTTCAAGCAACAGTCCATTTACTTAGGTTTACGGGTGGTGTTAAAGGAGAATTTCTAGCCTTTTCACAACAGATAGCAGCTCAGATCTTATTGCAGAATTTCGATCGTTCTTACTAAGTTACATCAGCGTTGTGTCCAAGGTTTTATGTATGGAATCTTGTCAACTGTTGTAAATCATTGACTGAGTAATGCGTGAAATGTCAAAATCAAAACAATGGAATTCGTCTCGAAAACAGTACTATTAGGGAAAACCATGTGACCTGTAAAGATTTATTACAGACATGCAGTCGTGAGATGTCCGGACTTCCGTTAAACTGTTAGAGAATTCCAAGTAAGAAGTCATTCTATGATTCATGTCGCATCACAATTCTGTGTCGAACTTTTACTAACAACAAATTGAGGAAGTTTACCTTCAAAGTTGGCATGATATTCCCATCAAAAAAGCTCCCAAGTGGCAGCAAATGTGCCAGTTATTACAAAAGGAGGTAGAAATAGTATCTAGAGTATAAACTAGTTAAAACATCGAAACAATATCATAAGTTGAGTGTCCTAGAGAAGTATGTGGAATAGAAGTTTAAAGTTTGGCTAGCCGATATAAACTACTGAATATGATTAGGTAGTATAGTGTGTCGCATCAAAAAGACATAACTTCCATTATTCTGTCACCTTTTGTATAATAGCACCCAGAAAATGTCGTGGTACAAAATACTACTACTATAATTGTCCCGACGAACCCATCAGGTTGAAATTTTTCATATGAAGAAGTAAACAGTAGTCAAAAGAGCTGTTGAGTTTACTGCAACTTTTTTCATCAAACGAAACAGTTTTCGTTTTTAAACTATGGACTTTGAAAGCTTGAAGCATTATATTAATATTTTTTATAATTTTATGTTGGTATCATTTCAGTCGCTAGCCGGGGCTATTTAATTGTGATATTTTCATTGTCCTTTTGGGTAACATCAACAAAAACTTCAGATAGAAAAGAAAGTCAGTCATATTAAATGTGCAGACAATAAAATACGTCAATCATGTGTTGATGAATTCGAATACCTCACTCCTGTCTGAGTTCTATACTGATTACGTTGTTAAGAATAACAATGTAAGCTTCAGGACCAAACTAACCAGCATAGCTATAAATCCCCACCATGACGTCAAGTGTTACGGCTGTGAACTGATGTCTCATAAGCCTGGTAGTAGATGAAGCACTCAGCCATTAACCCGTGTTTAAAGTTTACTTATCGCTTGACCTTATTTGGCGTGAACGTCCGAGTAGTACCATCATACGAATGAAGTAAAGTTCGAAATGAAGCACACAAATTTGTATATTATAAATGAGTTCTTCAAAAAGATCTGATAGACTCCAAGCAAAAACCTGAATCAATTAACCTTTTTATAGACATCTGTTTGATAGATCTTTTTATTAACTGTAAAGACTAACTACGTTGCAAAATTGGGCTTTAATTTATTGACGAATCAATCAAATTCACGGTAAGAACTCTTGGATTTTTACTCCGAATCCGTTCATCCATATAACTAGTTATTCTCAGTTCGTGATGAAAACGCACACTCCAATTTCTAAGCCTAACTTGTAACTGAAACACCTGAAACTAATCCCTCACACTAATTCATAATCCTTGTTTGAATGTAGTAAGTGTTTGGCCTTTCTTACGGTCACTTTACTGTTGCCCATAAATTATAGTCTCACTTCTGGCTGCGCGAAAAAAGTACAACTCCTTTGACTGATATTTTTGATGATATCATTTTAAATGTGTTGTGAAAGGTAATTTTGAGGCTTCACTGAACGATGCAGTTTTCACTGTGATCATCTATAGGATGTTCCTACAATTTTCTCATCCTCTTTGTTCATCTTCCATATTTCCATCTTGCCTACTACCATTGATCATATCACTACTTCTACTTCCCTGTAATTTGGCCTGGTGATTTCATCTCGCTATGATAACATGATGTAACAAATTGGACCCATACATATATGGGCTAAATTCTATTTTGCGAATAACTAATGTTCATAAGACAACTGTTATCGAACGATAGCATAATTGGACAAACTTAACGTACTTATTAACAAGATGGTACATAAAAGGGTAAGTATTGTCCACTGTCACTTAAAAACGCAAGTGATTGAGAATTTAGAGTTTTGTAGATCATTAACACTCCAATTTTATCCAGACCTGACTATGAAATTTAATTCGTTCCTATCATATTGAATTATCTTTACTTCAACTTACATCCTATATTCTTACCGAATAAGACAGTAACCTTTTATTTGTTTTCTGGTTCGATCACTTTTTGTTGTTGACAGTGATAGTATTATGAAACACTACTGCTAAATGGTATTTGTCTTGGTCTTTTTTTTACGAAACTAAATTATTCAATTGTTTTATTTAGTCTAACATCAAGGACGCATACTTTACGTGCTTTTTTATTGATCATTACAGTCCAATGATTCGGAACTAGTGGAAGACGAAATTACCGAGCCTGGAACGGATTTGTCTACTCTAATACAAACACATTTTACTCGAATTGAACATGTTGCTTCATCAACAAAATGTGAATCATGTGGTAAACACACGGTTCAAGCTAGATCCTTAAAATTACAACAGCTTTCATCACACGTGTTGATTTGTCTAAATGTTTTTAAATATTCTCGACTTAATCAAACATGTTCAAAAATTATGCATCGTGTCCATATACCAGAACGCTTATCAGTTACGGTATCATCTTCAAACACAGAAACCTATACATACAATGATATTTCTGCAACAAATGATTCTGCTAAATCTAAATTCACTTCCAGAACTTATAGTCTACAAGCAATGATTTTGCATAGTGGCTTATCGGTTAGTTGTGGTCACTACACTTGTGTAGCTAAAGTTGGTATGCAGTGGATATTGTTTGATGATGATAATGCTGACTATACAACATTAGAAGATATTTACTCTGAATCTTTAAACACGCCTTATCTCTTACTGTACAGTCAAACTTAGACATATAGTTCACATATCTATTCCTGTCATTCATTTTTATCTTCAGTTCAGAATGAATATGTACTTCATTACGTTTTTAAAGATTTCTCTAGCAATTTTTTGTTACTGAACGCTTTAATTCCACATGTAACTGTAGATTTTGTTTTTTAAAATTCATCTAGTTATTCAGAAAATCAAATGATTAAGATAGTGTTTTATTGTGCGCAGTGTCTCAAACTGTACAGTTAATTTCAGGAATTTTTGGGAACTTAAAATATCATGGTGCGTCAATTTTTATTGTTCATCTCAGATTCGGGTGTGTACATATTAGGGTGGTTGAGTTTAATACAATTAAGATATATAACTTTTGTCGATAGAAAATAACACTAAAAACCGCTTTCTTTCCAGATAAAGATGTTAACTGTAACATATCTGCATCAACTGACACATCATGTTAGCAGACCACGAATGTTTGTTATATTAGACTTTTCGTTGAAGAATCTTTTAGTGTTTACTGAAGATTCATTTCCCATTTGTCGTAATCATTCCACCTGTTAACGCTTCAAAGAAGCAAATGTTTTTTATTGTCCTCTACTCATACTACTTAAAAATGATCAATAGTGTGAAGCTTGTTTAACAAGTATTGATTCCGCATAAACTTTTTCCTTCAATTTCAAACTGTTTCAACTAAAATTTCAGCCTGTAAGCACTTACTCTGGTTTCATTTCATTGTCCTATTCTCATGACTAAAAGTAGTTTTCTGTATTTTATTTAGATTTAATTATCTTGTGAGAATATCCATTCAAAACTTAGAAATCTCGAACAATTGTTTTCCACATTATGACGCGTCCTGTAATTTAATGACATTTATGTAATATATATTCGTGGACTATTTTCGGTAGGACTCTTGTGATTTAATTAGTTGTGAAATACACTTTGCTCAGTTATTTATATAACGGTACAACTTACAACAGAATATCAAGCGAGCACGGATTTGTAAATTCTCAGACTTTATTTTCTATTTTGGGCTATTAAGGTGGTAGTGCTTAAATCTCTCACGTTACAATGTTGAGGTTTTCAAGCTCAGATTACCTATTATGCGATAATTCTACAAATTCATTGCGTTTATTCCACTTCTATACGCTTTTCTTTACATCCACGACCGACTTCTTGTACGTTTTAGATGTTCCTGTTGACTACCTCTATTATACCACTTTACATTCCAAAATAGTGTATGCGGTGTTGAGTCACTTGGACTAATGGCCACATTGCAACTTGTTTGATAGAATTTGATCAACATTAAGGGCTTGACACACATGGCTTCGGTCAGTAATAAGTGACCAATCAATTGTAAATGTGACATTCTGTTGATTGGTTTGAGGTAATCGGATGTCACCAAGTTTCTCAATGAGAGACGTTCCAACTGAGCTACTGGGATGGCATTTCAATTTAAGAAGCTAGGTCTTCGGTATTCGAATCCTACACCTAGCAATAATTCGTTCAAAACTGCAGGTATGCTTTACGAAGAGTGTAGTGGACATATTTCAACTCGATCAATAGAATTCGATCATAATTAAAGGACTTGACAGTGGTTGCTACTCTGTGACCGATTAAGTTCAAATGTGATAAAATATTTAAATAGTTTATAACGATATATAAGAATTTTAACGGTCAAGAATTCCAACTAGGATTCATTTGTGTTCGTATTCGAGGCAGTATAAAAATTGTTACCGTGTAAAACAGTTGATAATAATGTGAGTAATAGTATTTATCTGGATACTTTCGAAATAGAGAATTATTGATTGGGCACTTTCGACGACCATAGTCTTTGTTCTACTTTGGAATAACTGTTAGTGATTAGTAGATTGATATATGCAATGAATAGAATGATTTTTGTTTGCAACACCTGTCGATTGAATGTATATTCATACATACTTCTGCCTGATACTACCTGTTCAGTGCAAGGAATTTATGTGATTCATTTCTGGTTTGCTGAATTACTTATTGTCATTGTCCTAACACATCTCTGCATATGAAGTAAACTGGCCGATCTTTTTCATCCGAAAATTAGTCCCCTCTGAACAATAGTAGAATAGACTACCCCTCATGGCTTTCATTCGTTTTTAAATTATTTCTTTCAAATACCACAACTTGTTAACCGTAAATATGCAGTCGAACTAAAACTATTAGTGTAACTAGTCAACATAGCCCTAGAAATCATATTCAAAGTTTGATTATTTTCATCCGAAAAGCGATGAATCTATTAGTCAGTTATGTTATCCTTTTTACTGATGATTGACTACTTACATTATGTTTCAAAGATCATTAGGCAAGCTAGATGTCAGTAATATCTTTTTCAAATACTTAGTTTAACATAAATTTGATTTTGTATTTGTCAGTCTTCAACAACTGAGATAAAAATGTAAGTGTAGTAGTATCTCACTTAAGGTTTCGCCTTTAATTTTCGATTGTTTCTATGACGTAATGTCAGGATATTCACAGGAATATCCCAAAAGATTATCTCGAATGTAAAGTAGTATTTATACGAATATTCGTCAAGATTAGAACGAATAGTTTGACAATAATTGGGCGCCGAGTATAGAGAATTCATTATATGTGAAAAAATTTTATATTTGAAATAGTCTCAGCGATTGAAATTTAAATAATTCCAACGTTTCGTCCAGCTAACTTGTCTGGACTTCTTCAGGGAAATAATCAAAATCAAAATCATCAAAGAAATATATAGTGTTTTTACAATCATATCAAAATCTCTACTACTTTTAATCCAATCATATTTGGATGTCGAAGTTTTTGTACAACAGGATAATATGAGTCAGTTGAATGAGAATCAAGTGAAAAGTTCAACGATGTGAATTAAAGGAGACTGCATAAATTGTGTGTATGTATGTATGTGTAAGATGAGTTATTAATGATGAATGATATTCAGTGTTGATATGTTTCTATGTGAAGTAAAATAGGAATAAACGTGCATAATGAAGGTTGAAAAGTTTTTCTCCTTTCTGAATCATCGAAGTTGCAAATAAAATGAGAATCATCAAGTACATAAATTGTAATGTTAAACATAACTCATATTGATTTAAGTCATAATAACGATTCATGTGAAGTAAACAGGTTGAATAAAAGAAAAAGGGTCAAATTACTTGTTGATGAATATTTGCCAAGTGGTAGCTAGCTGAATACCATCCTTTCTGTTTAGGCTGTTCTTATTCGCCCATATATACAGCGCTTCTGCTGTCAATCTTTCTTTGTGAGTGTTGAAACCTTTCTGAAGTATTTTGGCCCCTTCAAAATTAATCATGTGTCCCGTTTCCAACGCATGTAACGCTATTGCAGACTTATTCTCAAGTTTCTTTAAGTCAACCGAGGTTTTGGGAACGTTTTTTAAACACTGTTTGTGTTCCTTCAACCTTACCTTCAATTGTCTGGATGTTTCTCCAATATAAGCCGCATTACAATCATGACAATTGATCTCATAGACAATATTTTGTTGTTCTTCCTTTGGTAACCTATCCTTAACCTTCACCAATGACGATCTTATAGTGTCACATGTTCTAAAATACACTCTTATATCATGTTTGTTTAAAATCCGTTTGATTTCCTCCGATGTTTCGCTACGGTATGGTATGACTACAGTGGACTTCCAATCTTTCTGTACATGTTGCAGTTTAACTTTTCTTTCCTTTCTAACAATCTTCTTTAAAAACTCTTTTGGGTAGTTGTTATCCCTAAGTGTAGCTAAAATCCTATTCAATTCAAATTGTTGGTCTTCTTCATCTGTAACAAGCTTCAGGCTTCTGTTAATTAAATTTTTAACAACTGTGACTTTCGTACATAAAGCATGCGCCGAATCAAAATCTAAGTATCTATCTGAATGTGTTGATTTTTTTGAAAACATTTATTTTCAACTTCCTATTATTAAGTCTTCGTTCAACCATACAGTCGAGAAATACCAGTTTGTGGTCATCAGACTCTATTTCCTTCGTTAGATTAATTTGTTCCGAAATGTTGTTCACATTTGTAAACAATTCTTCCAAATAGTCCTGTTTAATGATAACAAAAATGTCATCTACATACCGTAGCCAGACCTTTGGTGGACAAACACTTCTTGCGATTGCACTAGTTTCGAGTGAATGCATGAATAAATTTGCAACAATCGGAGAAACTGGTGAACCCATAGCTATACCTTCTTTTTGTCTGTATAGATCTCCTCGAAATATGAATAAGGTGGACCTTAAACATAGTTCCAAACACTTGATAAACTCAGATGGATCTAACGGGCAACGTAAATGTAAATCCAAATCAGATTCTAAACAAGCATAAATAATATCCAACGCTCTGTTGATAGGTACGTTAGTAAATAAGGAAGAAACATCAAAACTTGCCATTACTTCTTCTTCTTCTATGTCGATGGTATCAATAATATTTTTAAATTCCATAGAGTTTTTAATTCCATGATTAATCAATTTCTCATACGGTTTTAGTATTCTAGCTAAGTATTTCGCTAGGTTGTAAGTCGGTGAATTTGTAAAATCGACCACTGGTCTTAGTGGAGTACTATCCTTGTGAATCTTCGGGAGTCCATAGAATCGACAAGGGTTACAACTTTTTGGATTTAGCATAAACCATAAAGGCGTTCCGAGCTTGACGCATGCTTTATGTACGAAAGTCACAGTTGTTAAAAATTTAATTAACAGAAGCCTGAAGCTTGTTACAGATGAAGAAGACCAACAATTTGAATTGAATAGGATTTTAGCTACACTTAGGGATAACAACTACCCAAAAGAGTTTTTAAAGAAGATTGTTAGAAAGGAAAGAAAAGCTAAACTGCAACATGTACAGAAAGATTGGAAGTCCACTGTAGTCATACCATACCGTAGCGAAACATCGGAGGAAATCAAACGGATTTTAAACAAACATGATATAAGAGTGTATTTTAGAACATGTGACACTATAAGATCGTCATTGGTGAAGGTTAAGGATAGGTTACCAAAGGAAGAACAACAAAATATTGTCTATGAGATCAATTGTCATGATTGTAATGCGGCTTATATTGGAGAAACATCCAGACAATTGAAGGTAAGGTTGAAGGAACACAAACAGTGTTTAAAAAACGTTCCCAAAACCTCGGTTGACTTAAAGAAACTTGAGAATAAGTCTGCAATAGCGTTACATGCGTTGGAAA